CTAACTTCTTTGACTTTTAAAATTGAAAAACTTTTTTTAAAATTCCTGAACCTTTTAGGTTCATGAAAATTTTAACATTCATGGACTGTTTTCCAAGTTTGTGAACTTAAAAAAAATTGCTATCATTTTTTCCAAATCCATTAATTTTTTTCACCTTCAAAACATTATTTCAAATATCTAGTTTTTAAAATTTCATGAATTTTGTTTCAAACTTGTGAACGTTTATCAAACATGTAAATATTTTTTCATTCAAAAATATTTTTTTCAAACTCATGAACGTTTTGAAAATTCATGAATAGTTTTTTCAAATTTATGAACTTTTTTGAATGCAAACTTTAAATCTGTAATAAAGTGATAGTCAATTATTTTTCTTAATGAAGCCAGACAACCTAGTAGTACTCCTAAGCTAGGTAAACACTAATGGGTCCTGACCCATACCGTTTTGCGCGCGCCAACACGACGAATCTGGGCGCTTGAAGCCTAGACTATTTGCCGCCCGAGGGCGCCAACGTTTTGCTTCCTTTTTTGGTTTACGTATCTTATTTTATTTTTAAATTTTGGTTCATTTTTATGTTTTCTTCTCTTTATTGAGTATTATATAAAAGGTTCACCACATATTACAAAATAAATTCATTGTATATTAAGGAAAATGTTCACCATATATTATAAAAAAGTTTACCATGCATTATAAAAAAAATTCATCGTATATTAAGACATTGTTCAACTTATACTACAAAATTTTCGTTGTGTATTTAAAAGCAATCCATTGTATTTTAAGAAATTGCTCAACTCATACTACAAAATGTTCATTGTGTACTTGAACTTTGTTCAGTATTGTTCTGCCAAAAAGTTTGCAGTATTTTAGAAAGTGTTCAATGTATATTACAAAAAAATTCAATGTGTATCCGGAAATTGTTCAGCATATATATTCATATTTTCATAAGCTGCTCGAAATAAGAGTCGACAAAAAAAACCAGGCTGCTACAGTTAACCGGTTGGTGTTTTCCGCAAAAAAAACAGATGGTGCCCTACCATTTTTCTACAGTACGGGAATACTACAGTGTCTCTACATTGCCTTTTTTTTAGTTAAACTGCAAACACCCTCGCCCAGTTCGAGCGCCCCTGTGCGAAGCCAGAGCTCCTTGATGCACACTGGCGTCCTATTGGGACTCTCCCTCTCTTTTTTTTTCTTTTTGAGGATTGACTCTCCATCTTAGTGGAGGCTCCGCTTTGTGAGGTACGATGGGCCTGGCTGTTCTGGCAAGCTTGCCTGTGTAGCGTTTGCATTTCTAGTTGGCTTATGTTATCCTTGATTTTTTGGTCAGTTCTTCTCAAAGAAAAAGCGAATGTTGGATGTTTTTGTTCGTATATATATTTAAAAGATATTTCATATTTATTAAAAAGATCAATGCATACTTAAGAATATCTCACCATATATTAAAAAAGTTAACCAATTATTAAATAAATGTTCATCATATATTAGGAATGTTTATTGTAAAATAAACCTATAAAAAAGAAAGATGGAAAATAAGTAAAAAGAAAAAGAAAAAACCAAAAGCCAAAAGGTATCAGAAAAAAAACAGAAAATTAAAATCTACATAAACCAGAATAAATACCAAAAGCAAAACAACACATAAATTGAAAAGACAAATAAAACAAATGAGAGAAGGACAAACTAGAAAAACAAACGCAAAACCATAAAAAGAAAATAAAAAC